ACCCCTTCCACCCTGCACACACCCTGAATGATTTTTTAAGGATGATTTTGACTACATTCATTGCTCGCTGTCTCAGCCCTCCCCACTCTTCCCCCAGATCTCAGTAACTTAACTCAAGAAAAACTTTATTTCTTGTTCCTGGGAATTCTGATGCAGACGTGACCACTCTGTTCCCTCTGGGAGCTACGCCTTCTGGAATTCTGGCCACCAGCGTCCCCGTGGCCGGGCCAGAGCAGTGGCCCAGCGATGACTCTTAACTGCCTTAGCCTTGGAGAGACTCATCATTTTCTTTTCTTTTCTTTTTTAAATATATTTTTATTGATTGCAGAGAGGAAGCCATCCACTGAGCCACGCCGGCCGCGAGAGACTCCTCATTTTCATTCATTGCCCATCGGCCGAGTGGTGTGGTATCAGTCCTCCTGCCGGGGCACCCGGGAGCAGTCAGAGCCGCCAGAACCCACCGCCACCGGGATGGGGTTCTTCTGGATGACACCCATCCACTGAGCCACGCCGGCCGCGCGAGACTCCTCATTTTCATTCATTGCCCATCGGCCAAGTTGCGTGGTGTCAGTCTTCCTGCCAGGGCACCTGGGAGCAGTCAGAGCCACCAGAACCCACCGCCACCGGGATGGGGTTCTTCTGGATGTATTTTATGGCATTGCGATCACATCGTGGAAATGACAGTTTATCTTACTTTAAATTGATAAAAAAACATCTTTTTAAATATCCTGCTTTTTGGATCAATCTTACAGCATAAGCATTTCCCACTAATACTTATTCTTAAAAAGCAACATGTTGCGGGGCTTGCCTATACTTACAGAATAGATGGTTTAAGATAGAAAACAGAGCAGACAGTGGAAGCCCTCAGCGTGCCCTCCCCACCCCAGAGGTAACCACGGTCTTGAATTTGGTGTTTACAGTTTCCACATGTATTGCTATTTACATTTTTACTTAAAAAATTGGTTTTTTTTATTGCACAGAGAACTATTTAAACTTTATGGGAAAGATATCATGTTGTGTTCTTTTGTAGGAAAGTTTTTTTTCTTAATCTTTACCTGAGGACATGTTTTTTAAAAATTGATTTAGAGAGAGAGAGGATGGGGGAGGGAGAAAGAGAAAGAGAGAGAGAGAGACTGACATCGATGTGAGAGAGAAACATTGATCTGTTGTGTCCTGTATGTGCCCTGACTGGGTATCGAACCTGAAACCTTTTGTTGTACGGGATGACGCTCCAACCAACTGAGCCACTGCCAGGGCTGTAGGAAAGTTTTAAAACATTATTCACCTCCCACTCACCCTGCCCAATGCTATCAGATAAGCCTTGAATGTCTCCTTTCTCTTCTCTCCACATTCCAGGTGCTGTTCAACCAGTTCAAGTACTTTTTCAACCTCTATTTCTTACTCCTCGCCTGCTCGCAGTTTGTACCTGAAATGAGACTTGGTGCGCTCTACACCTACTGGGTCCCCCTGGTGAGTAACACGCCCTGTTTGCTCAGTGACCGCAGAGCTTGGGGACAGACAGCTCTTTGTCTCTCTCGCTCTAGCATGTGGAATGGGAGAGTAGCCCTTTCAGGGAGAGGGCACCCTCAAGCTAACACATTGGGCGCCCCCAAGGCTTTAAGGTTGCAGCTCCATTGCCTACATCAGCAGGGTCAGACGATAGTGAGCTTTGTGCCATTCCTTCCTTCTGTCTCTCTGCTCCTCCGTCATTCATCGTCTCAGCAAACAGAGTGGCAAACGAGGGAGACCAAGCCCCGGTCTCTGTGGACTGTGCTGTTGAATTGTTTTCTGAGACCCCATGTTCTACTTACTCTGTGTATACTATTTAGGGGGAGGGTTTAAAAAAGTAACAGATTCTGTGCTTTCTGTGTACGAATGTGAGAGAACTGACCAGATTGCCCCTCCATTCCTTCCCTTGCCTGCTTTTCTTTCTTCCTTTCCTTTGGGAAATGGTAATTGAGCACCTACTATGCGCCAGGCACTGTGCTGGGTGCTGGGGGTGCAGCGATGAACAAAACATATAAATTCCTGCCCTCATGGAGTTGATTTTCAGAGGGATAGACAATAAACAGATTAATAAAGTTGTTTCAAATTGTGGGAAGGTCTGTGAGGGTAACAGAATAAGGTCATAGGACAGGCGGGGTATCCCAGGCTCCTGGAGTGTTTGCTGAATGGGTGAAGGTGGGGGCTGGGAGCTGTGGAGGGGCAGCCTAGCCAGGGTGTCCATGAAAGGCCTCTTGAGGAGGTGATGGGAAGGAGAATAGGAGGGTGGGAGGACTCTGGGCAGACAGGAGCCGTGCAAAGGCCCTGTGGTAGACAGGAGCTCAGAGGACTTGGAGAACAGAAAGTGGCTCAGCATGACTGGCACTGGAAGGGCAGAGCTGACGTCTTTTTCTCCAGAGACATTATGAAATGTGATTGCTGCCTATTTCTGTCTAAGCTGGGCTGGGGAGGGGGTGGCGACACTTAGATTTTCTTTTCACAAACATGGTTAATTTTTTAAAAAAATATATTTTTATTGATTTCAGAAAGGAAGGGAGAGGAGAGAGAGAGAGAGAGAAACATCAATGGTGAGAGAGAATCATTGATTGGCTGCTTCCTGCACGCCTCCTACTGGTGATTAAGCCTGCAACCCGGGCATGTGCCCTTGACCGGAATCAAACCCAGGATCCTTCAGTCCGCAGGCTGATGCTCTATCCAAATTGAGCCAAACCGGCCAGGGCTAAATTTTTAATTGGAAGAAGATTTGTTTTAAAATTGATATTTAGAGAGAGAGAGGGGAAAGGGGAAAGAGAGAGGAACTTCAAGTTGTTGTTCCACATACAAGAAACAACCAGTGAATGCATAAATAAGTGGGACAACAAATGTATGTTTCTCTCTCTCCCTTCCTCTTTTTCTCTAAAAATTAATAAATGAAGAAAATTTAAAAAAGATATACACATTTCTGAGTAATTTTTCTTTCTAATCTTCGGCATCTCTTCTTCTTGACTTTTGAACATTGACAACTCACTAAAACAATGTGAGAGCACTGTGTGAATTGGACACGCTCCGCCCGGTGCTCCGCTAGCAGTTGTAGGAGTTCCTTAGGGCCTCGGGTGGGTGGCTTTGTGCTCAGGGCACCCCACTGGGGCGTGGAATGCTCCAGACCCTGCCTCTCAAGTCTGTGTATTGGTTTCTTTGCAAACCCAGATGTGCTGCTCTCTGCTGCCTCCCAAGGGGCCTCTGTTCATTTTTCTTTCCCCTTTTCAATTACAAAGGGACTCTTTATTATTGGAAAAAAATTAAAAGAACAACTGGGGAAAACCCCCCCACACAAATGCCCCTGTGCAGCCACCCCCGAGATACCCCATTTATGTTTCTGGTCGATTTCCTTTTCGTCTCTTACATGTGCCTGTGTTTTGTGCGCACTCTAACATACAGTGTAGTAAATTCTGTATGTTATGTAAGTGCATATGTTTTGTAAGTTGGGATCCCAAGTGCTCACGAAGATAGCTAGCTGTGTGTCTCCCCTCCTCCCTGCCTCTTGCACCTCAAGCGTGATATCTGACCTGGCGTCTGTCCTCGTTCTTCACGGTACCCGTCTGCCCAGCCTGTGGTATAAACCCATCATCCGACAGGTTCTTGGGGTACAGATCTGTTCACACCCCCACTACCTCGTCTACCTTATCTTGGCATCTATGGTGGGGAGGGGACGTCAGCCACATTGGGAATAAGCTTTTCATTCTCTTAACCAGGTTCATGTAGATACGACTAAGGGGGGGATGGATTTAACAGGAATTCACACGCCTGAGAAAGTTGGATTCATGTAGATACGACTAAGGGGGCGGGGTATGGATTTAACAGGAATTCACACGCCTGAGAAAGTTGGTGGGAATGAGATCAGCTCTGTTGAATTCTCCCAGAGGCGGTCAGCGAGGGTCCTGTGGGCTGGAGGTGAAGCGAGCTGCTGGGGGAAAGGGTTCCCCACTTGATAAGGGAGAACTGAGGGGCCAAGGAGACTGGGGAAGTCGCTTGAGGTCGTGGTCGGATGTGAAGGGTTTCGGTCTCACAGCGACGGAGCTCCCTCCCTTTCTCCGAGGAACGGTCTTGGGATGTCAGAAGGGCTCTGGGCTGCACGGGAGGCTGTGTGCACAGGGAGATTCTTTGCGGCTTGTTGCGTATAATGAAAAATTGGAAACAAACACTTGTCCGTCGGTAGTTACCCACATGCTGGTGGAGCTGAGCTCTGGGTGCTGCCCAGGAGTGAGAAGCCGGGAAGTCACTCCACGGGTGCTGTCACGGGAGGGTGTGACTCATGTTTTTCTTGACGTGGAAAAGCAAGTTGCAGAACAACATGGACCGTATGTTCCAATTTTTATGACCCTCTCCCTCCCCCGCAACAAATACAGGGGTGGGCAAAAGTAGCTTTACCGTTGTGAGTACCCCAAACAGAGTTTATTCTTGTGTTATTATTTATTAATTAGTGTATATTTATTTGTATTACAACTGGGGTGAGGCCAGAGGGCGGGGGGAGTGGTGGGGGCTGGGGTGACCTGGCGGGCTCCCACCCCTTCCAGTCCTTTCTCCTCGCTGAAATGTCCCTGGGATTTTCCAGGAGAAGCGGGAAGAACTGATTTTCAGTGTAAGCCACTGACCCCTGGTTTTCCTGGGACCCGGCCTCAGCTAGAAGCCGGCAGGTTGACGGCAGCCTCGGGCCATCCTGAGGTTTCTAACCGCATCAGGGCCCCTGGGACGGTTCAGGATGCAGAGGGGATGTTTGTCTTGTAGAAGTCCTGGCTTTCTTTCCGGGGCCTGCAGAGCAGAGTGTTTGGGGTCAAAGATGAATTGGACACCATCTATTTCTAGGAGACTGTAGCTGACTTCCCCGAAAGGCCCTAGATGTTAGTGCAGGGAATCAACGTGCAGTTCTTGGCTAGAACACATTTTGAAATGTCTCTGACCATCCTGAAAGTCCCGGCATTTCAAACCCAGGTAGGAGTGCGTGGTTGAGTGCAGGCCTTGGCCGCACTTTGATGAGAAGTCGTGTCATCTGAACAAACTGCTGAGCCTCAGTTTCCACATCTGTAAAACGGGTGACCAGGTCTATTTCCTTGGCTTGTTGGGAGGATTACATGAAATAACAACACGGAAAATGCTTCTGATAGCTCCTGGCATATAGAAAATAGTCTCATTTTAATTTTTAAAACCTGCGCTAGTGACACTGTTGTTCACTGTCTGGATTAAGTTTTAGTTTTTAATACTTTTTTCTTGGTACTAATATAGTAGAGGAAGAATTCCTTCAGGAGATTGCAGAAATAGCCCATAACATTGTATGAAGTCCAAGTAATAAATCTAGATTTTTTTTTGTTATTAAGATATAGTTTATACACCATAAAATGCACAGACACAGCCCAGCTGGCGTAGCTCAGTGGTTGAGCGGAGCGTGGACCTATGAATCAGGCAGTCACGGTTCAATTTCCGGTCAAGGCACATGCCCGGGTTGTGGGCTGGATCCCCATATATACACACATATATATTTAAAAAAATGCACAGACATGGAGTTTCTGATTCAGTGAGTGTTGACCTTCATCAACACCCGTGTAAACGCCACCTCAGTAAGACAAGAACACTTCCATCGCTTCGGAAAGTTCCCAGTGCCCCTTTCCCGCCAACCCCTCCCCCCCCAGAGGCAGCTGCTCTTCTGAATTCTATCTCTTTCAGGCAGTTTTGTTTTCGCAGATCGACTTTCGATGTTCAACATCACCACAGAGCCTTATTGACACCTTCACAGTGGCTCTCTGTGCGCTGCCATGGCCTGCGTTTCTCTACAAGCTCAGCGTGGGCCCGACAGCCCCGGCCCACTTTCAGACCTCTTTCTAGATGTCTGTGGATGTGCAGGGCCTCCGAAGTTGGACGGCTGGAGTTTATTTCTGGACCACATTTGCATCTCGTTGTAAATACATTTCTAGCCCAGGGAATGGCGTGTCCTCCAGAGTTAATGAGAACTGTGTGTTTGGGGGCGGGGGAGGGTAGGGCGGATGAACTTGGGAGGCCGTGTTCACTGGCAGCAGGGAGGCTGCAGCTTCTGTCTTTACTTATTTGTTTATTTTTTTAATCCTCGCCCGAGGATGTTTTTCCGTTGATTTTTAGACAGCGTGGAAAGGAGGGGAAGAGACAGAGAGAGAGAGATACATCGATGTGAGAGAGACACGTCGATTGGGTGCCTCCTGCACGTGGGGATCCAGCCGCAACCCGCACACGCCCTTGCCTGGAATTGAACCCGGGACCCTTCAGTCCGCAGGCTGAGGCTTCTATCCACTGAGTCAAACTGGCTAGGGCACAGCTTCTGTCTCTGCATGAGCACACACTCCCACCGTCATCCGTGGGACTCAGCCAGGCCCATGCAGGGCACAGAGAAACCAGAACATTTGAAGAAAACAAACAACAACAAAAACCTGGCCTCTGGCCCGGAACAACAAAACTGCAGCGTGA